AAGAAATGCCTGGAACGGGAAGAGTAGGTCGAACACCTACGATAACAGGTCCAGTAACTAAATCTGACTTCAAACTAATTCTATGCAGGGGAACATCAATGACGCCTAGCTCCACACCCTGTAATAAAACTGACCCACCAGTAGAAGTCTGCTCAGACAAAGGAAGCACGCCCTCTAACAATAACGTCTGTGCAGCACCAGTATCTCTCAAAATCTGGACAGGTTTTATTTCGCTAGAGTCACCGAGTGAAACAAATCCCTGAGACATAAAGGGCTTATAATCCTCCATAGAATCAATAGAACTGGACTGTGAACCCTGGACATCAGGAGTGTCAGAACAAATCGAATCTAAGGCTTCTCTATCACCCATAACTGCCGCACAAGCATGTGGTTGAGTTTTATCAAAATCATTTTTTCTCTTAAGTTTAAAGCATTCACTGATCAGATGACCCTTTTTCTTACAATAACTACAAGTAGGAAGCGACCCTATTCCAGACGATCCTTCAACACGTCCTGGACCGGACTTAAAACCACCTTGGGATGGAGACTGGGAACTTGTGAAAGACTGAGACCCTGAACCACTCTTTTTATATGTGTCTGAATTGGTAGAATTACTGCTAGTCTGAGATCTTGAAACAAAATTCTTTTTATGAGACAGAGCATAAGTATCAGATATGACTGCTGCCTCTTCAAGAGTTTTCACATTCTTATCTTCTAGATGTGTTTTCAAATCTTGAGGAACACATTCCTTAAACTCTTCTACCAGGATGACTTGGCGCAAATTAGCAAAAGTTTTATCAAGTTTCTTAGATCTAAACCAGTGATCGAATAAATCTTCTTTCTCTCGTGAAAATTCAACAAATGTTTGATTATCAAACTTTCTATACTTTCTGAACTTTTGTCTATACGCTTCAGGTACTAATTCATATGCTTTTAATATTGCTGCTTTGACCTTCTCATAGTCTGAACTCTCAACTACCCCTAGTGCAGAGTACACCTCAGCCGCTTTTCCAGCCAGTACACTTTGTAACATTGTTGACCAAACATTTCGTGGCCATTTAAGATTCTCTGCGACCTTTTCAAATTGGGGAAAATATTTGTCTACAGATTTTTCTTGAAATTTCGGAACTAACCTAATGTTTTTTGCTGCGTCAAATTCAGTTTTGACAACTGACGGTTCTGGTTGGTTTTGTAATTTTAATTTCTCTAATTCAAAGTTCATTGCACGCTCTTCTCTTTCTGCTGTTAATTTGTCTAATTCAAATTTTCGTTCACGCTCTCGTTCTTCTCTTTCTCTTTCTCGCTCTTCTCTTTCTTTTTCTCGATCTTCTCTTTCTAATTTTTCTCTTTCTAATCGCATTTTCTCAAACTCTAATTGAAACTGATATTCTGCCATTTTGTAAGAGCCTAACTCTGATTTAACTGTATATTCTGGAAGATCGTATTTTTCAAAGATGTTTTCTTCTACTAGTTTGTTTGCAACCTTAATTCTAATGTCTTGCTTTCTCTGAGAGGATTTAACATCTAACCCAAAATGCAAACCTAATGCGATCAAGTCATCCTTTTTTAACGTATCAAAAACCTGAACACTTGGTGAACTAAGAAAGTCTGTGACCGAAAACACCATGTTGATTTCTGCTGGCTTATAATTTAATTTAACAAAAAATTAATGAGCAAAATTATGACAATAAACTGCAAAAGTGCAAAAATTCTTTATCCCGGACGAGCCCCCAATTCTGTTATGGGTCAGAATTACCCGAAATGCCAGCAAAGATCAATAACACAATTTAAACTTAACAATAATTTATTTACAGTAATATATAATAGTATATGAAACATAAAGTACAAACTTAGCAAGAATCTAAAAATACATACATCAGAGTGTCCGTTTCTGCACACAATGTCCCAGTGAAAATATATCCCAGTTATATCTCAATAGTGCTTATACGACAAAGTATCTCTATGCATCGAATTGACAGGGTATTTATACAGTATCATAAATCTAGAATATTCTAGAAATTGTTAAAACATAACATTACTGGAACAATCTGGACATACACAAAATTTAAGAATGTTCTAGATAAAATGACCGAACATGTTGACCACTCTGGAATGTTCAAGAAATTTAATGTTACTAATTATATACATAATGAAACAGTACACATCTCACAACAATAAATTTTGGTGAAATAATAAACTTGCATATGTCTATCGACCCGGAGCAGCATCGCTACGTCATTTACAGTCGGAGATTGATTTGCATGTGAAACGATCGGGAAGCGTTAAATACTCTTCCTTTTTTGTTATTACCTATAACATTAAAAAATCAAACAGTCTCTTTTCTTAAAGTATCATTTGAAAATATATGCTGTTTCTACCCAGGTGTAAAATTTTCATTTGGGAGAAAGGATGCTTTAGAATCATGCACTGCCGATTTAGGCAACGCAGGTAAACGATATTTTAAAATACCGTAACGATATTAATATCGTGAGTAATAACTTATGGTTGTCCAGAGCTTTTACATTTTACATTTACTCTGGTTGAATTAGTTATAAAAAAAGAAATTTATACCAATGAAATAACTCTCCAAGCACATTATTTTTTTTCTCATTTTTATTGTTTTAGAAGGTCGTTAAGTCTGGAAGAAAGAGTTCTACATTGCGCTACACAAAATTTTAGGTATGGTGGCTTGACGTCAAATTCCATTTTGTCGTTGTTAGCAGATTTTTCTACCGCGCGTCATTTTTTATGATCTCCGTATTTCTGATCAAAATTCTATAAAAGATGCACAAGATGAATTTGAAATAAAGCTGAAAAATTATACACATAAACTGATTTATTCCCGCTCTTATTATTGTTCAACGACAAGCTAGAACGTTGGTGTTACATATTTTCAAAATCCGATTTCATAACTGCTCCGTGTACACCTACTATTGACGCATTTATATACCATTTCAGAGAAAATATCTAACACTTGTAAAATATATCTTGCTTTTAGTGATTCTTAGTGTATGTTAAACGTATATGCATATTTTCACCGAAAGACGTTCATTAGAAAGCAAAATATGCACAATGTCTCAATAATTTTCGAACAACCCTCGTAATCATGCCATGAACAGTTACCAAACACCTCGGCGTTTTCGTAGTTCAATGTAAAGCTGTCGCCAACGTCTCCATGTTATTAGTGTTTTATGATAAGTATGCCTTTAGTAAATGAAATCGTAGAATGTTTTAGATCAAACTGCAAATTAACTGGCTCGGACAAGTGTCTCAATCCATCGGATCCATCAATTCCTTTCCGATGACCGAAAAAATTCCTCCAACTTCTTATCATCAAACTTCGGACGTGTTTCTTGTGTCTTTCCAGCATCAATTTTCACGAATAAATATATTCCCAGACAACAATCTGTTCACTATAAGTGATCACAGGTAGCCTTTCACAAAATATTTCCTTCGAAATAGATTCCTTAGACTAATGAATTCGAAGCGTAACAGACATAAAAGCCAATTTACACCTTGCGTCATTTTTAAAAATCTACGACGGACGGTTAGTGCAATAATTTAAATTCGAAAATATTAAATTGTCCGTCTCAAATGTATAAATAAGTAATAAATAACAAGTTTATAACCTTCAATGGGAATTGAAGTGGGTCGGTACGTGATCAAATCTTCTGAGAAGGCCTTCGGCTTTGTTATTTATTTCTTAAATATGAGATTACGCGATTACGTTCGATAGATTGATTGATTGTATACTGTTTAACGTCCCTCTCCAGAATATTTCACTGATATGGAGACGTCACCATTGCCGGTGAAGGGCTGCAAATTTAAATCTTTGCTCTGCACTTACCGCCTTTGAGCAGGGAGGGATCTTTATCATGCCACACCTGCTATGACACGGGGCCTCGGTTTAGACGGTCTCATCCGAAGGACCGCCCCATTTAGTCGCCTTTTACGACAAGCAAAGGGGTACTGAGGACCTATTCTAACCCGGATCCCCCACGGGGCGCGATTACGTTCGAAGCGTTGCTTTTGTATATAAAAATGGCGGCTTAGAAACGGTTTACGTAGGTAGTTTAGTTAAATCTCTTGTTACCTGAACGATTCGTAACACAGTCAGTTAGTGACCTAATAAAGCTTCGCCTCGCCCAATACGAATTTCCATTTCAAACCCTGTATGAATCCGTATTAGGTCACTAACTGACTGTGTAACTAATAATAACGTTCTTAAACAGACTTCAAAACGTTGAATATTTTCATAAGCAATGACGTCATATGTTTGAAATGACGTCACGAAATGACGTAAATTTAGAATTTCCATCATTTCGACAGAAAAAATGTATAAATAACGTCGATAATTAAAGTAAAAGTTACCGAGCGCAGATCTGATCAGACTCAATATTTTGATATAATGTGTAGAATGATAATAGCAATGAAATATGTAAATGTTGTTACTGAGCAAACTTTCGCTCTTTAATTTTTAAGCTAAAATTGTTGAAATTTTGTCTATTTTATCCTCTTTCTAAAAAATGATATAAAATCACACAAGTTTGTGACGTCATAAAAAAATTGTCAATAAACTACTTAGAAAGTATTATTCTGCTCTGTTAATTTCTATTTCTCGTTCAATTTATAAAATTCATCACATTTCAAGACTTTTTTAAAATTTGATTTGTATGGGGGCAAACATATGCAGTATACCGCATATAGTTCTTTTATGTTTTGAAAGTGCGTTGATTTGGTCCAAAATTTAACGCACTTTGAAATTTTTTCAAAGTTTGTAATTTTTCAAAGTGCGTTGTAACATTGCATGACAACAAGTGACATTCCCAAATGTATTAACAGCACAGAATACATACACGGTTCAGTGTTTCATGCATTTAAGAATATTATTATATAGAAATATTTACCGCTACAAAATCATCATCAATCTCGACTGCATCTTGGGGTAAAAATTTTCATTGTTACCCTCAACTATATCAAGCATTTATATGATACAGTACCTTTGATGGTATCTGACACATCAAAAACGTCATTCTGAATATCGACTCCTCTGGTAGATTTTGTATTTCTCCGAATTTCCTCTATGTCTATGCCTTTTAATCTTCCAAGTAACGTTGTTTTTCCACTGCCTGCACATCCTATCAACATCCCAGTGGCGTGGTACATGGCGGTCTTTCCTTTCTTTAGATTGTCCAGGAAATTTTTCACGGAGTCATCTCCTCTCATTATCACTTGTACTGGTATGCCCACTGTAATAAAAAAAAATAAAAATATATAACTAACAAGAATGATACTCTGTTTATAAGTCCTTTAAATTTACAAAATGTGTAAATTTTATATTTATATTTTTTAATTATTCTACTTAAATGAATCATAAGAGTATGATGAATTTGTGTAAAATTTAAAAAACCTTGCTCTATAATGGAACACTTCTCAGCTTTACCCCTAACAAATATTAAAGGGTAAAGACCATTATTTATTAAGATACAAAACTAAAGAAGGGACATGGACGGCAACAATCACTTTTTGATCTGTTTACTACTTGTTCTTCAGAAGAACTAATTCCATATTCCTGAAAAAATTTTTAAGGTTTCCTATGTATGTATTGCATCCTTTCTTTTTTCGTTTTTTTTCTGTTAAACAAGAATTTAAATTAACATTTGCACTCTAAGTGGATATATTTAGTTTTAAATTCTGAACAATAAACAATAAACTGTATACCCATTTCGCGGGATCTCACATCTTGTTTTATTTCTAAAATATCCCGACGTATATTTTTCTGGTCTCCACTTAACCAAGGAGGCAGGAAAAGGGGGATCCAATCTGAATTTTGTTCAACTTCTAGCTGCTTGTTTATTTTCACATAAAGTCGAAATGAAGTTTTTGTTATATCAGCAATATTGTACTCTGCTTTTTTTTTAATAGATAATTTTAATCTCTTTCTGCGTATTTCTATGTCACACAATGCGATTCTTTATTGTGGTCAAACCTATCGCCCAAGATTCATGATTTGTACAAGTTTTTATTCATGCATAGCTAGCTTTCATGTAGGTTTTGATTTAATTTTGTCCTACCACTTCTTGAAGAGAAAAATTTTAAATGATACTATCACTTATTCATTTTTTTCAATATTCCGAATCAGAAAAGAGGGCTTGGTCCTCCTTAAACTTCCCTTTGAAATAATGATTTATCCCCTAGTGGTTCTAGAGAAAAGACAATATCTACAGAACACTTATAGAAAAGGGCAAATTTTGGAATAGAAATGGTCAAATTTGATGAGGAAGAACTGACATAATTCATGAATTTAACCGGAGTCAATGGTCAGATACAATGTTTGTAGAACGCATCAAATTGTGAATTCATAGATTTACCAGATCCTCAAGTTTAGCTTAAATACAGTTTTACCTTACATCTTAACAGAAAAAGAGACAGACTGTTATTCTTATTTAACTTTACACCTTTAATTCTTCGTGTAAAGGAGATTAAGAAAACTAAAACATTGAAATATGCAAAACGATACCACAAAGAAACGTACGCTTTCTATACACTGATTTATGTATTGATCGGTCCCTCATTGTGACATGTGTGAATATCTCTTCCCCAAGTCTATCTATCAGTTGTTCTGTCTGATTTGGCAATAACCAACAACAAACTTCTTTTTCATCCTCTCTTCTCAGGTAATTTGACGATCTGCAATACTTTGCGATGTTTTCTTTTTCTGCCCAAATTAGAAACATATCAACAAATTTACGTTCTTTTGCAAATCTTAGAAAACTTGTGTCTCTGAAGAATTTACAAGAAAACTCGACATTGGAACTATCCTGTTTCAGCACTGGTTTGTACTTTTCTATTTTGGTGAGATCAGATTTCTTCTTAATCTTCTTAAATTTGAAAACTTCAGCCACAGCATTATATTTGTCCATCCATTGTTCTTCAAGATTTATTTTGTAGTTCTGGCAAAGAAGAAGGCACTTCAAAACTACATCTCCATCTACAAACATATATTCAGATTATAGTTGTTTTACCCTCAAAACTCAAAACACATGACTTGTAAGGTTGATAAAGACTTAGGGCATTACTGTTTATATCAATGCACTGGCTAGGTAAAAGGTGAAAAACACCTAAAGTTAATTTAAAGGTCCAACTGTCGTAAGTCTGGGACTTAAAGAAAGGCATATTAAAAACGCTTAAATTCAGAGGCAAAATTCTTAAACTTCTTTGGGAAATTGGATAAAATAATCATACAGTTGGTTGAGGATTTCAAATACTGTCAAACCTCTACTACAAACTCAAGATTGTCAAAGATTTTCTTCAACTGTACATCGTTACCAACCTGTCCTCTTGTAAATTTCACGAAACAATTTCTCAACATCTCTAACATCATGAATTTTATGATCACTAGAGGACGTGATACAGATCTCACACAAGGCGGCCTCACACGGGATACAGAACTGGGACAATGTACCTCTGGGATGCTTCTCACACTTCAAGTTCTCCACCGGGAGAGCTGAAAATTTATATAAAAAACATTAAATGTACACAGAGATAAATATCCAGAGGGAGAACCGCAAAAATGATACACTAAATTCTAAAAATATTAACAAGAGGTCCATGCTCACCTGAATAACTATGGTTATATATATACATGTATAAAAATAAATACATCTTCACTTAAGGTAGGATTCTTCTCATATTTTTAATACTTAAAAATTAATGAAATTTTCACAGAAGCAAGGAGACAATATCAGTAAGTAATAGTATCAGTGAAACTAGATTTGACCATTTTATATTAGAGACAAGGTCAGGTCAAGATCATTATCTTTTCCCTTGACATTTTGAATAAAGAATAACTGTTGCCAATCATGTGATACCTACTTCTATTTCAAAAGTTTAATGTTTGTTCTTTTTGCATAAAAACATATTACTATATCAGATCTATAGCATGATATTACCAAATTTACACAAATAATTTAACTTAACTGGATATTGGCTAATCCGAATTTTCTCTGTTTTTCTTAATTTTTTAGGATATATTAGTTATTTTCATATGCTTCCTATATTTAACTTTTTCTTATTTTCACATATAATAAAGTAGTCTTATAAATGTACAAAATGATACAAAAACAAAAAGTTTTGATCGTTTACTAAGAGAGAAAAAATACTTTTGATGGATTTTTGGCTCAAATCTGCACTTTGATGGGAAGCGTTTAAAAGCTAACAAAGTTCTAGTTTGTTTGGAAAATCATATTTGTTTGATATATTTTGAAAGTATAGTCCCTCATTATTAATATAACTTACATTTGAAAATTTCTCCAAGTCTTTAATTGTGTAAAAATTATAACTAAATTCATTGTTCTATTATAATTTTGAGAAGCACGAGAAAAGATATTTTTATACGCCACCATTCCGCCAAAAATATAGTCCCTGCTAGTTTTCAAACGCAGATTACCATTTTTATTTAAAGTTGTACAATTGTGATGAGGAAAGAAAAATATGGTCTTTTAAATCTCTTACACCTAAATATATAAGACATATAAGCAAATATACTTTGAATGTTTCATCTAGTCAGAAACCAGAGAAGAATCCTACCTTAAGAATATTTAGAAACTCGCCCTAGCAGCAGAACCCAGGAGCCATAAAATTCAAATTTTGGAAGACGCACCCTTGCTTATAACAACTATGTATTTAGTTTGTTTGGTTAATTCTAAGGAGCAGAGGAGAATATTTTTAAAGAATAAATGCATTTCCATCATAATCAATAGAGTTCTGCCCTAAAAGCAGAGCCCTTGACCCATGGACCATAACAAATCATAATCTCGGAAGAGGCGAGCAATTTTGCTCATTATATTTATGTACAGTGAACCCTCATTTATCCGGACGCTTTGGTTCCCAGTCAATTTGTCCGGATATGTGAAGCATCCGGATATCTGAATCACCAGTTAAACAAGACAGAATAACATTTTAAAATTTCGTTCCGATGAAAAATCGTCCGGATACTGAAGCATCCGGATATCTGGCGTCCAGATATCTGAAGGTCCACTGTATGTAGTTTCTTTTGCTTAATATTCAGGAGCAAAGGAGAAGATTTGTACATTTGCTTCCTAAATTCGTTGTGTGTAAAGCAAATGGTTCTAAAAAAAAACTTGACATATCTTGCTGTGTGTAGTGTTTGTGTTTTTGGCTCTTGACCTTTGACATTGTGATGCCATAAAGGTGAAATTAGGTGTACCAAGATTGATGTATGTAAAGCAAAGGGTTTTCAAAATATTCATTGATGAATCTCTTCCTCCATACAAGCTGTCAAAGTATCATACATGAAGCTCAATCAGCAGATCACTCATTCCATTATGACGAGGTCGTCTCTTTTATGACCTTTAACGTCGCCTGCGTGGCTCAATGGTTAGAGCGTCTGCTCTAGATTCACGAAATAGGGTGTAGATCCTTACGTCCTTGGTTCAAATCCCTTGTGGGACGTGAAGAGCTGTCCTTCAGATGAGACCGTATAAACTGAGGTCCCGTGTCTCAGTGAGTTTGGCACGTAATGATCACTCACTGCTCAATGGCCCTTAGACGATTTTTTTATCTGATGTTTTCGGGAGAGGGCTACAATTCAACAGCATCTCCGTAATGCAAAAATGTTTTACAGATACGGGCGACTGCAGGCAGAATAAATTGTTTTTACATTCAACTTATTTCTAATAAGACGAAATTTTTATTCACTGTTGACACCATATCCTGTTAAACGCGAAAACCATGTAAAATAATTCAGAGTGTCTTACTCAGAAGCCATTACAGTTCATGCGTGACGTACCGAGACTTGCACTTGAATTTTAGAATATCTCAATAAAGCAAATGTTGATGTTCATACATTATTGTAATGAATAGCAACACTAAAAATCGATAATAAAATCATTTCATGTGTCATTATTTCATAACAGCGATACTTAGGCTTAAGATAACGTAATTTAAAAAAATCTGCTCCCTATAAATCCTTCACGGTCAGAGTCTCCATAAATAAGTCTATAGAAGTCATAAACACAATGCAACAATATAAGTTACCAGTCATAGAGTCTCCATAGATAAGTCTATAGAAGTCATAAACACAATACAAAAGTATAACTTACCGGTCAGAGAGTCTCCATAAATAAGTCTATAGAAGTCATAAACACAGTGCAACAGTATAACTTACCGGTCATAGAGTCTCCATAGATAAGTCTATAGAAGTCATAAACACAATACAACAGTATAACTTACCGGTCACAGAGTCTCCATAAATAAGTCTATAGAAGTAATAAACACAATACAACAGTATAACTTACCGGTCATAGAGTCTTCATAAATAAGTCTATAGAAGTCATAAACACAATACAACAGCATAACTTACCGGTCAGAGAGTCTACATAAATAAGTCTATAGAAGTCATAAACACAATACAGCAGTATAACTTACCGGTCAGAGAGTCCCCATAAATAAGTCTATAGAAGTCATAAACACAATGCATAGAGAATAATACATACCCTTTTCTATATCACATCCTGTATCAGTCCGAGACACCAATATCAGCCAGAGGGCCAAAGGCCCGAGGGCTGATATTGGTCGAGGGCTGATACAGGATGTGATATGGAAAAGGGTATGTATTAATATGTTTATATATTACATACTTAGTAATAAAATACAGCATACATTAAGTTGAGAAGAAAATAAGTAAATAATCATGCATGGACTTCTTACATACATGTACATACATGGTCTATTGTCTTGTACAATTTGGGTTTGTTTCTACTTCTATTTCAATGCACTCAATCCTAATTTGAAAATAATCTATTACATGTATTTGTATATTAAGATAAACCTTAATTTCAAAAAGTTAAAATTAAGAGACTATGAACCCACCAAAAGTTGTGTATGATCACAAGTACTGTTTTTATGGTTTAATTTACTAAGGGTGTGATATTGACGTCACAATAGCCGTATCAGCCCTGCAGGGCTGATATGGATTTGCAGGGCTGATGAGAAGGATATGGAAATAACGAACAGTATTCAATCTCAACGTCCATTAAACAAATATACAAAATAAGAGCAGAGCAAACACGGACCTCCGAAACATCAGAGGTGGGATCAGGTGCCATGGAGGAGTGAGCATCCCCTGCCGACCGGTCACACCCGCCGTGTGCTCGTTGTCATAATCAGGAAATAACGGAAAAAATCCGTGGTCAATTCAGTGTATAAATAATGGACTAACAATTGGTATGAAAAACGTCAGTCAGCATTTCATTCAATGATAAATTGTATTTGCTGACAAGGTCATTGTATCGACCATAGAATTTACGAAATGATGACTTTAAACGAGACTGTTGATATTCTTGTTTCATCAACTTGCTTGTCAATAATTTACCTCGTTTAAGAAATTGTTCATACGTAGAGCATGCTCTTGCGTATCGAATCAACTGAGATATAAATACTCCGTATGCAGGTGATGAAGGTATATTGCTGCATAAGTAAGGGAAGTTGACGATAGAAAAGTTAAAGTCATCACGTTTATCATATAGCTTGGTTGTTAGATTACCATTAGTGTCTTTTTCAAGTAAAATATCCAAGTATGAAGCAGAAGTGTCGGACTCTGTGGTATCTTTTATCTCAAGCTCACCAGGATATATCGTGTCGACGTAGGAATGAAAATTATCATTATTAATTGACAATACGTCGTCGATATATCTAAATGTCGAGTTGAAGGCCACAGCAAGTGTTTTCTTCTTTTCACGTAAAAGATTTTGCATAAATTCTTCTTCATATGAATATAAAAATAGGTCTGCTAATAACGGTGCGCAATTTGTACCCATGGGAATTCCAATAGATTGTTGGAATACCTGGTCTCCAAAAACCACGTAGATATTGTCAATCAGAAACTCAAGCATCTTCTTGATGTCAACTTCAGAGTACTTATGTGTGCAATCAGAATCTGTTTTAACAAAATAATTTTTCAAATGACCAATGACGAGGTAAGTAAACTTACGAGTTCCATTTTTGTTGAAGAAGCAGCTGTCAATGATATCAAAAAGCCTGGATTTTAATTTGTCGTGGGGAATTGTTGTGTATAAAGTTGAAAAGTCGTAAGTTTTTATGCTGTTGATTTTTGTAAAGTCTTGTGATTTCAAATTGTCCAAAAGTTCTTTAGAATTTTTAAGTATCCACATCTGAGGTTATCAGCCCTGCAAATACATATCAGCCCTGCAGGGCTGATACGGCTATCGTGACGTCAGCCATATCGCATATGCAAAAAACCTGTATTTATTACTAAGTGTGTAATAAAACAGTATAACTTACCAGTCAGAGAGTCTACATAAATAAGGCAATAGAAGTCATAAACACAACACAACAGTATAACTTACCAGTGAAAGAGTCTCCATAAATAAGTCTATAGAAGTCATAAACACAATACAACAGTATAACTTACCAGTCAGAGAGTCTCCATAAATAAGTCTATAGAAGTCATTAACACAATACAACAGTATAACTTACCAGTCAGAGAGTCTCCATAAATAAGTCTATAGAAGTCATAAACACAATACAGCAGTATAACTTACCGGTCAGAGAGTCTTCATAAATAAGTCTATAGAAGTCATAAACACAACACAACAGTATAACTTACCAGTCAGAGAGTCTACATAAATAAGTCTATAGAAGTCATAAACACAACACAACAGTATAACTTACCAGTCAGAGAGTCTCCGTAAATATGTCTATAGAAGTCATAAACACAACACAACAGTATAACTTACCAGTCAGAGAGTCTCCATAAATATGTCTATAGAAGTCATAAACACAATACAACAGTATAACTTACCAGTCAGAGAGTCTCCATAAATATGTCTATAGAAGTCATAAACACAATACAGCAGTATAACTTACCGGTCATAGAGTCTCCATAAATACGTCTATAGAAGTCATAAACACAATACAACAGTATAACTTACCAGTCAGAGAGTCTACATAAATAAGTCTATAGAAATCATAAACACAATACAACAGTATAACTTACCAGTCAGAGAGTCTACATAAATAAGTCTATAGAAATCATAAACACAATACAACAGTATAACTTACCAGCCAGAGAGTCTCCATAATAAGTCTATAGAAGTCATAAACACAATACAACAGTATAACTTATCAGTCAGAGAGTCTCTATAAATAAGTCTATAGAAGTCATAAACACAATACAACAGTATAACTTACCGGTCAGAGAGTCACCATAAATACATCTATAGAAGTCATAAACAAAATACAACAGTATAACTTACCGGTCAGAGAGTCCCTTTAAATAAGTCTATAGAAGTCATAAACACAATACAACAGTATAACTTACCGGTCACAGAGTCTCCATAAATAAGTCTATAGAAGTCATAAACACAATACAACAGTATAACTTACCGGTCAGAGAGTCTCCATAAATACGTCTATAGAAGTCATAAACACAATACAACAGTAAACTTACCGGTCAGAGAGTCTCGATAAATAAGCCTATACAAGTCATAAACACAATACAACAGTATAACTTACCAGTCAGAGAGTCTCCATAAATAAGTCTATAGAAGTCATAAACACAATACAGCAGTATAACTTACCGGTCAGAGAGTCTTCATAAATAAGTCTATAGAAGTCATAAACACAACACAACAGTATAACTTACCAGTCAGAGAGTCTACATAAATAAGTCTATAGAAGTCATAAACACAACACAACAGTATAACTTACCAGTCAGAGAGTCTCCGTAAATATGTCTATAGAAGTCATAAACACAACACAACAGTATAACTTACCGGTCAGAGAGTCTCCATAAATATGTCTATAGAAGTCATAAACACAATACAACAGTATAACTTACCAGCCAGAGAGTCTCCATAATAAGTCTATAGAAGTCATAAACACAATACAACAGTATAACTTACCAGTCAGAGAGTCTCTATAAATAAGTCTATATAAATTACCGGTCAGAAGTCATAAACACAATACACAATACAGTATAAATTACCGGTCAGAGAGTCACCATAAATACATCTATAGAAGTCATAAACACAATACAACAGTATAACTTACCGGTCACAGAGTCTCCATAAATAAGTCTATAGAAGTCATAAACACAATACAACAGTATAACTTACCGGTCAGAGAGTCTTCATAAACAAGTCTAAAGAAGTCATCAACACAATACAACAGTATAATTTACCGGTCAGAGAGTCTCCATATATAGGTCTATAGAAAACATAAACACAATACAACAGTATAACTTACCAGTCAGAGAGTCTCTATAGATAAGTCTATAGAAGTCATAAACACAATACAGCAGTATAACTTACCGGTCAGAGAGTCTTCATAAATAAGTCTATAGAAGTCATAAACACAACACAACAGTATAACTTACCAGTCAGAGAGTCTACATAAATAAGTCTATAGAAGTCATAAACACAACACAACAGTATAACTTACCAGTCAGAGAGTCTCCGTAAATATGTCTATAGAAGTCATAAACACAACACAACAGTATAACTTACCGGTCAGAGAGTCTCCATAAATATGTCTATAGAAGTCATAAACACAATACAACAGTATAACTTACCAGCCAGAGAGTCTCCATAATAAGTCTATAGAAGTCATAAACACAATACAACAGTATAACTTACCAGTCAGAGAGTCTCTATAAATAAGTCTATAGAAGTCATAAACACAATACAACAGTATAAATTACCGGTCAGAGAGTCACCATAAATACATCTATAGAAGTCATAAACACAATACAACAGTATAACTTACCGGTCAGAGAGTCCCTTTAAATAAGTCTATAGAAGTCATAAACACAATACAACAGTATAACTTACCGGTCACAGAGTCTCCATAAATAAGTCTATAGAAGTCATAAACACAATACAACAGTATAACTTACCGGTCAGAGAGTCTCCATAAATACGTCTATAGAAGTCATAAACACAATACAACAGTAAACTTACCGGTCAGAGAGTCTCCATAAATAAGCCTATACAAGTCATAAACACAATACAACAGTATAACTTACCAGTCAGAGAGTCTCTATAGATAAGTCTATAGAAGTCATAAACACAATACAACAGTATAACTTACCAGTCATAGAGTCTCCATAAATAAGTCTATAAAAGACATAAACCCAATACAACAGTAACTTACCGGTCAGAGAGTCTTCATAGATAAGTTTATAGAAGTCATAAACACAATACAACAGTATAACTTACCGGTCAGAGAGTCTTCATAGATAAGTCTATAGATGTTTACTGTGTTGTCGTACCGTGATCCTACCCAGAAAAACTGAGTTCTGTCATCATAATTCAGACCGCATGGTCCGTCTTTCCCGTGTTGTGCATATGGTGTCTTTGTATTTGACAGGAAGTGACCGTCCCTGTCCAGAATCTTTACTACTTGAGTTACATAATCACACACCAGGATGTGTGACAGCGCGTCAGTACAGATTCCATATGGCCATAGTCGTAATCCTGATGTAAGCTCTGTGTAGGAGAATCGATGTCTACCTCTACTGTCTGTCACCACTACACCATGGACAGGGTCAGACACAATAACATCTCCATTGCGGTTCTCTGTGATGAAGTTAGGTGAACTATACAGTCCCTGACCTGTGTTGTCGTGCTGTATGGTCTGTAGGTGTCGTCCTGTCTTAGTGTAACGGTTTACCTGGCCTATCCTTGTATATTTATTATATATCCCGACCAGCAGGTATCCAGTGGAAGGGGAGCTGTAGACACAATGTGGTTCCCATTGCTCTGTGTTGTACGATTTTAATACAGTCTTCACTGTGTTATCTTTAGACAGTTTAATGATGTTACCCTTCCTGTCTATATAAATTAAATCGCCGTCACTTGTCACTGTGTGTACTCCTTCACCACTAGATATACCTGTCAAACGAGTTAGTTCTTCACCTGCAGTATTTGTCAATATGAGATTGTCTTTATCACAGATCCAGACCCGGTCTGAAGATACACGGGAAATGTGAACACACTGACTAACACCTTTCACTCTGATAGATTTCTGTAACACTAATCTAGGCATCATGTACAGCAGTCATTTATTTCGTCTTTATTCTGTGGTTTCTATCCATAACGGAATCCCGTGTTCATTTCCTCAGTCAGGGAGATTTCTCTGTAAACAACAACATTCTGCTATTATTATCTACATCAACGACAGGCCTTCTTTATAGCGAGCACAGCGAGCGCAATAGACTAACGTGTAAGAACAGAGGAAATTCGGATTGAAATCTGTACATACGTCAGCCAAATTTCTCTGTGAAACATTCCCAGAATTCCTGCACTACCCAATGTCCTTTGCACAAATAAATAAATAAATAAATGATATTGTTAAGCATAAAAGGCTATCAAATTGTAGAAATCTTTCAAAGAAACAAAAAAGAACTCTGCAATGGTTTTCGACCAAAATTGCACTAGGTCTATAGTTGCAACCAGACGCTCGGCTGTCTCCGTAAGCTCCGACGGGCTCCGTGACGTCGTGTAACGTCACAGCTAGTCGAGATATCTCGTGCGACTTGATGTTTGAAGTGGCTGATCAATTTTTCAAGAAATGTTAAGTATTTTTGATTGTACAACTGCGCTCGCCCCAACGGTCACACCGTAAAACATATTGATTTAATATTTCAGATGAATAACTATAATGTAATCATGAAAATATGAATTAAAATCCCAGAGAGAGAGTGGGTCATTGTACACTTTAAAGCGAGTGCAACGAGCGACGCTCGTCACTGCGATCTCTTAAAGCAACGCATGTGTGAAAAGAAAATTCGGACTACTGAACATTCATTCGATAGAATCTTTTGACGCAGTAATTTGGACCCACAATGCATCACTTGTTAAAGCTACGTTCTCGCGAGAATAGCAGCAAAAGTGCAACTAAAAGTAGACAATTGCCCTGATTAAATGGATAAATATTGAAGATAAATAGTAAATGAAACATTCTTCATTTAATTTCAGCGCTGTTCAGGCTTCTATTTGGAAATGTAACTTACATACGACGTAGTGTGACGTCAGAGTCTAGACGTACCAAATGTCACGTGCAGTTTGACGAGCCCGATCTAAATTATAACAATATAAATATCTGCCCTCGCCATAACGGTCGCACCGTCAACATATTATATGGTTTTTAATTTATTACTATACCTCATATAAATAATCACAAGTAAACAGGAATAATATATGCTGTTTAAGGAGTAATTGTGGGATTATTACGAGACGCAGAGTCAATCCGATTGCATGGACTAACACAGAAATATATGTAGAGACAGTGTGAATCGAAGTTTAAGGTTGAAACAAGTGGAGCTTTTTAAGAAAGCTTACCGTCTTTAGCAACAACCTTAAACATTAAACTGATCAACACCTATCAGGCCGTATAATTCTTTTGAATTTCTTGATTTGGTATTTCTACATTAGCTTGTTACTGGCATTAGCCCTACCACGGTTGTCGCTCGGTCATCTCCCTTAACTTTGACTTGCCGAGATCTTTCGGCAAACCTCGACTGATTCCGATACCTCTTTCAAACGAGAAAAATGGGAAATTTAAAAAATAATAAAAAATTGTAAAGCCTGCAAGCAATTACTTTCAAATTTTATTTACAATAAATTAAAGAGACCATTTTAGTTATTGCTACAAATAATATGTTATTTAGAATTAAGGACAGATGATACAAACATATTTTTTCTTTGAAAAGATTTAATATCATGTCACAAGTTTAGAAAAGTGGATAATTCTTTAAAAATTTTCTCCTAAGAACTGGAAAATGAAATAGACTTGGAAAATATAAGTAATATTTCAATAAAAAAAATAAATATAGACAAATCACATTCAGTAAAGGTTTACAGGTGAAAACAAATTTCAGAAAATGTTACATTGGTGCTAAAAGTGTAATATAAACTTTAGAAAAATATACCATGCCAGGTGAATTTAAAGAGGAAGAACAAAATGACAAAAAATTAGCAATATCACATAGGCTGATTTTTACTATTTTGCTTTTCCTGATAAAATTCAATCTTGTAAAATTTTTACGTTGTACGAATATTAGATCATTAGAAAATTATCTCCCTTGCCTTGAACAGCATTTCAACCAATGAAATAATTTAAAGTTTTCTCATCATGCAATTTCTACCAATCACAAAAGAGATGACGTGCTTAGTCCGAAGACTGTAAAAAACTTCAACTTTAAAATACCGTCTTCATTTTTTAAGCCCAGAAGGACCAGTGGGGAGTACAACGTAAACAAACAAACCTTTATTTCTTATAATTTAATTTTTTGTGGAGCGATTATTTAGCGTTTTAAAGATTTTTTTTTCTATTGTACTCACTGCTTATAATATATAAGTGTTATAAATATAATCTGGGAACAAAATGTCCAACAATCCCCGGGGTCGAATATTTGGGGAGGGGGGAGGGGTTCCTGTCCACAAGTACCTCAATCTCTACCCAGAGTTATCGTTCCAATTGTTGTAGCGAAGCGAACGACAGCTCTGGGTAGAGATTGCAAGTACCTGTTGATAAGACATCGTCAGAATCTTGCACTGTAAAATTTTAGGTAAACATTGCCATATTTAAACTTTCAGGATAAGATCGGAAAAACGGTTGAATGATTTACTTTGTTATTGGAAATTTCGGGTTTGGTTATCGAAAACAAAGGTTGTGATTAGGGAAAATTTTAAGAAACGACAGGAATCTCTTCATGAAATCTAATACTTAAAGTGGCTGGCCATCCTCTACTGTTTGGCTAGGATTTGTCTCTTTTAGAACATGGGACTTTTAAAAAATGAGTGTTTTCGTTGTTTTGCATTTCTCATTGAAATGTGCATGATCTTGATGAGTTCGAAAATATGGTACATGTATAAATTTTTAATCACTATAAGGTGCCAATGTCGCCAGCGTGGCGCAGTGATTAGAGTCGCGAAGTAGGAAGTCAAACCTTATCTTGCACGTTAGAATCCCTATGGGACATGAAAAACGGTCCTTCGGATAAGACCGTATAAAACCGAGGTCCCGTGTTGCAGTAGGTGCTGGTACGAAAAAGATCCCTATCTGCTCAAAGGCCGTAAGTGCCGAGTATAGGACAAAATTTATAGCTCTCCAACAGCAAGTGGTAGCGTCTCCATATGAGTGAAAAATTTTCGAGAGGGACGTTAAACAGCATTCAATCAGCATTCAATCAATCAATCAAGGTGCCAAGCTCATGACAAAGGAAGAGTTGCAACCATTTTTGATCGACTGAGGTCAGTTGCGGCCGAGATTGGAACTCACGACCTCACGAACACGACTACATTTATAAGTTTGATATAAAACAGTTAAAGAATCTAATCTCAAGGCTGGTTAAATGAACTTCCCAAAAGGGCGTTAGACCAAAATATATGATGTAGAACTTTAACTTTTGAGAAAAAAAGGGATTTTAAACTTTAAAAATTCACAAAAAGCGTTAACATGAATGTCTTAAAACATCGGGGTTATCAAGAAGGGATAAGAACCCCCTGATGAACGGTTACACCCACAGTGTGCTCTTTGTCATTATTGGCCGAAAATGTGTAGATGGAGGGGGGGGGCGAACCTCACCTGGATTTTACAGTGCTATTGAATGTTTATACTGAAGCTTAAAATCCCTAGCACTCCACATTGTAGTTGAAAACTTTTTGTAATAAAAATTAAACATATGAGAGTTGAAGTGATCAATCAGCACACCTCCTCTTAAATAAGTATTTTTAACGGTAACAAGAGGCCCAGGGGCCCAATCACTCCCCTGGGCAAATCGGCTAGGAAAAAGCACAAATCAGATCAGAACTAAAACGTTTACTGAAAGGGGGAGGGGGGATTGGATTTTAATACTACTTGAGAATGCCTTCATATTAACACAGCATATGACTTTGTTCTGTTCTTGATACAAAGATTTTTTAAAAAGCATTTTCTTCCTATATATAACTTTATAATAATTTGAATTTGATTCCCCATTTATTCCCTCCTTACCTCAAAGGGTCATGATTTGAATAAATCTAAATCTTTGATACATGAGGATGCTTACATTTCAATATGACTAAGCATGGCTTTTTTGTTCTTGGGATTTCCCTCCCCCTTTTTTATGTAAAACTTTGATCAACCATTGTGGCCCGTCCTACCCTTGGGGGTTATGATTTGAACAAATTAATTCTACACTACCCAAAAATGTTTGCATATAAATACTAGTATCACTAATCATGGCATTGCTATTCTTGAGAAGAAAATTTCTGCAAATATATTGTAATGTAAAACTTGCATCCCCCATTCATGTCCCACCTATGCCTGGGGGTTATGATTTGAACAAAATAGAATCTACTCTGCCTGAGGATGTTTTCACATAAATATCACTGATCATGACTTTAAAGTGCTTGAGAAGACAATTAAAAAAGATTTCCCTATATACTCCTATGTAAAACTTTGATCGGCCATAGTGGCCCAACCCTACCCCCCGAGTTCATGATTTGAACAAACTTGAATCTACACTACCTGCAGATGATTAAAAATGAGTTTCATCTTTCCTGCCCCAGTGGTTCTTGAGAAGAAGATTTTTAAAGATTTTTCCTATATTCCTATGTAAAAATTTGATCGGCCATTGTGGCCCCACCCTACCCCCGGGGGTCATGATTTGAACAAACTTGAATCTACACTACCTGAGGATGATTTAACATGAGTTTCATCTTTCCTGGCCCAGTGGTTCTTGAGAAGAAGATTTTTAATGATTTTCTCTATATACTTCTATGTAAAACTTTGTTGGCCATTGTGGCCACACGCTACCCCCGGGGGTCATGATTTTAACAAACTTGAATCTACACATTACCCGAGGATGCTTCCACATGAGTTACATCTTTCCTGGCCCAGTGGTTCTTTAGAAGAACTTTTTTTTATAAAAAGCCATTAATTTTTCACTAATTCATAATTATATCCCCTTGGAAAAAGGCATGACTGTCACAATCAATATTTAATTATAATTGTATTTACATAACGGTTATGGTTTTTATTTTGTTTACCCTTTACTGGAC